CACACACACACACACACACACACACACACACACACACACACACACACACACACACACACACACACACACACACACACACACACACACACACACACGCGCGCGCGCGCGTTTGCCCAGCTATCCATTTGGGGACATTCCATTGACTTACATTGCATTCCAACTGCCTAACCCTGACCACAAACCCTAAGGCTAACCTCACAGGTACCTGATGAGTACAACCCGCACTCTTTTGTTTTCAGGTCATACCTGCACTGTGAATGGGCCACTTTGGCACAGCTGGAGAAAGATAAAAGGATCCATCAACCTACCTGACCCCGAAACTAACCTAAACTCAGTTCACAACTTGGTCCTAAACCCAGCCCCCAACCCACCAAGGGCATTTAAACCAAATGGGGATTAGACTTTTTTCCCCAAATGCACCAGTTGTCCACAAATGTAGGATTTTTGTCTTAAAATTGCCCCCAAATGTCATCAGAAACAAACCCCCCCCCCCCAACACACACATACAGCACCTGCACACTTCCTTAATACAAAAGAAGACCTGTGTTTGAATACTCTATTCTTGTCTCCTGTCTTATTTCTTCCATCTCAGGTCCCTACTACTATCTGCCCCCAGTCTCAGAGCCATGTCATTCCCTGGCCCACCAGACGGACCACCTGCTGGATGGAATTGCTCTGGCTACACGTCAGGATGAAGATGGAGACACGTATGTTGATGAAATAAGAACAATGTAGATTGGAAATCTTGGTGTCATTTTGATGTGTACATTGAAGATGATACGTTTTATGTACTCAACTCAAAATATAACCATAATTCCTCCAGTTCATGGATTTTTATCATAAGAATCTCAGTCAGATGGGGGTTATGTTGAATATTGAAACCCCACAGAGCAAACTGGTCCAAAATTTCATCACTTATATATTATGCTGGTAACACTTATAAATTATATTTATAAGATTGCAGCCAATTAAGATCGTCGGACGCTGCTTGATCACATGTGGAGACTAAATGTATTTTGCTAAGCACTGTAAATAGTCAACCTCTAAAGTTTAGTACTAAATTAATGCAAATGATTAATATTCATTACATCTTGAAAATGGATTGGCTCCAAAAGCTGTGTCCAATGTTCTTTTTTCTGAAAGTTTTAAAAAAGCCCACCAAAAAGGTTCATGAAATATTTTGCTAACAGATATAGTTGACTCCAATAAGGAATGCCAAAGTTTTAAACACAGTTTATGTGTGATCAGTAAGTGCTCATAAACAAGGGATTAGATGCAAATACTTCACTCATTTTTAGCTTAATATCTGCAAAGTTGACTGCGTTCTTGGTTGTTTTGTGTTTCCTCAAGTTGGTCCGATGGCCAAATGGAATCAAGTTGATTTCAAAAGTTAATTAGTTGTACAAGAAGATGTCAATTTAATGATTTCTGTCTGGAAGTTGTCTGGAGGATATACAGTATACTGTATACACACACACACACACACACACACACACACACA